CACACACACACACACACACACACACACACACACACACACACACACACACACATTCGTCATTCTTTTTAAGAACACCTGTATTTTCTCATGCACACATTGGCATGCAGGGCAGTACAGCTACTCTCTGGTCCCTCACATAGCAGCTATTTAAGTATCTATGTTAAGTATAAATTACTATAGTCCCTTTTATACATTTACCTCACAAAACTTATTTTTAGTCACAATTTAAGAATTTGACAACTGTATGTACAGTGATCCCTCGCTATAACRCGGTTCACCTTTCACGATCTCGCTGCTTCACGGATTTTTTTGTGCAGTTTTTTTTTTCACAGTGCATTGTGTTCTTCGTCCTGATTGGCTAAACAGTCTCTGTGCTCAACAGGCTATCAACATGTCAGAGCCTGAGGATGATTTAAAAACAATAAATAACACCTAATAACCATCTTCCAACCTGTTCTGCCGCTAGAAAAAAAGTTATGGACTTTTTCCGCTCTCCTTTCCTACTGCTTTGCAGCAGGCGCGCCGGCGTGAGGAAAAAAAAAAAGTGTCAGCTCGCAGCTCCTGCAGAGGCGAAACTAACGAACAAACCACCTCTAAATTATCTGGTGAATTAATTATCTGGTGTGCGCAACGTTCGCTTGCTCTTTAGTAAATAAAGCAAAGCCATTTTCTCTATTTTATCTTTATTTCACCCGTCGTTAAGACAGACCGGTGTTCCTCCCTCTTCAGATGCGTGTTTAGTCCGCTGCTGCGTTCTACACCGAACGTGCTTCAGTGCGTCCAAGACGCTGGGCGCATTTTTGCTGCTCAAAACGCGTTCGGTGGGAACCCGGTGTACCGGCTTAACTACTTCACGGATTTCGCCTATCACGGGTTGTTTTTGGAACACAACCCCCACGAAAAACGAGGGATCRCTGTAYATTARAAAAGTCAGGGTCAAACTGTGAAAGTGTTACTTTTTTAAAGTGACAGACGCAAAGATTTTAGCTATGTTTGGTAAAACACTTGTTCTTGTATCTRCTACTTTTTCTGTCCCTTTATACCTGTTACACATACTTACTTGGTGATTATTTTAATGATTMAATTATTTTCTTTCAGAGTGCAATAAAAACTGACAGTTGTCTTTATTACTGCTGAACTCTGTRGTTTTATCTGTTGTGTTTTTCATGATCGCTTGCTGATAGCTTATCTATTTGTCTTTCTTAAAAATAAAAAAAGGAAATAAAACCTAATCCAGGTTTTTTGGAGGATACACCTGCTCTTATGAAAACAATAGTCGTTTCCTGCAATCCAGGACATGTGCTCCTCCCTTCTTTCCCTTTCTGTGAGCAAACATGCGTGTTTTGAGGAACAAGGTCACTTTAAAAAAAAAAAAGAAATAAAAACCTTGTGAATAGATTTGCCCTCAGCAAGTAGGAAGGCTCGTCGGTTTGCCACCAGCTGATTGAAAGCATTCAGCTTCCTCACCCTGACTTGCCTCTTGCTGCTAGGTGGTAAATTAATGCCAGACGTCAGCTGCAAGCGTTTGACCTCTGACTGGTTTTGTATCTTAACAGGCTTCTGCTCTGTACATTTTAAAACCTGCCGCCTAAATAATATCAATTTAAATGCTAAATATTAATTTTGTGGCTGCTTTTTGATATGATAGATATTATATGTATATACTGTTCTGTCAGGTGAGGCTCCAAGTTGTTTCTTGGTCTCAACAGGTGGTTGTTGATACAGCTCAGATTGAGAACAAGGAGGCCTACGCTCCCCAGATCACTCTGGAGGGATCCAAGGTTGTTGTCCAGGTTCCCTCAACATGGTGAGACCATCAAGATTACAATCTGAAGGGATTAGAAATGTTTGTAAAACCTGAAATTCGAATAAATTTAAGGGACAGATGTACTTCAGTCCAAGGAATATGATTATGGAATACTCTGGATAGTGATTGTAAAAATGCTGGCTCAATTAATTTGTTTAAAAGAATAATTAAAAATTATTTGTTAAAGAAAAATGAAATTCTATAATTTGTATTTATAAGAGCTGTTGTTTAGGAGCTGAAGTTTTTGTTTTGTTATTGTTTGAACATTGTTATTGTTTCAAACTATTAATATTATATGACTATTTATATATTTTTAAATAGGGGCAGATATAAGTTTTTTTCTTTCTGCTACATTTCATTTTTATTTATGTATTTTTTATGTGAATTTATTTGTTGTTAAATGAATAAATATTGAAAAATATATATGTTTAAATTTAATTTGTGTATACACAACACACTGAAGAGGAATAAAGCATCTCTAATTTAAAAGTCAAAGCTATCTGGGAATAAAATGTTTTAGTGTCTGTATTATTTTATCAACACACCAGTTTGTTGTCTGAGACATTATGTTGAAAAGGTTTTGTTGTTGTGCTTGTTCAGGTGTTTGAAGGAGGACCCGGCCACCATGTCCCTGCTGCAGCGAAGCCTGGACCCAGAGAAGACTCTTGGACTAGTAGATGTTCTGTACACAGCTGTGTTCGACATCAACAGGTGGAAGGAGAGGAAGTAAGTGGATTATAATTGATTAATAACTGCTACATGTTCCAACAAATCAAAAGTTGAGCCTTTTCAAGTACTGTGTGAGGAGGAACTTGTTTTTATATTAAATGATCAAATGGATATATTTTGTTTGCACCAAAGGGAGCAGGCCCTGCCCACTATTCAGATCCAGCTGCAGCGAGAGAGTCCAGAATACGGCAGCCCGATAGACTTACCTGTTGGCACCAGCTCCAAGGCCTCTAGTGGATTACCAAAAACAATATCTAAACTGACTTCCAAGTTTGCCAAGAAGGTCTCCTCCAGCTCTAACAGTGGAGGCAGCTACTCCATTCCCAGCACCCCGTCCCGCAGCATGCTGTCAAGTAGCAGCTCTGAGGAAAAAGCCAAAAGCCTGGGCCACAGCGACGGGAGGCTACAGAGCATTCTACAGATGGGCGGTATGTCCTGCAGCCCTGACTCTACACAGCAGAACCAGCTGGCTAACGGCTCGGGGTCTGAAGACCAGGGCATGAACCTGCCCACTGACCAGGAGATGCAAGACGTCATTGACTTTCTCTCAGGGTTCAACATGGGCAAATCCCAGCAGGCCTCGCCCCTGGTCAAGAGGAGGAACTCTGTGGCCTCTGCCAATCCAGCTGAGCTGAAGCCCCCGAGTGGTCCTCCACCAGCCTCCCAGTCCGCCTCTCACAGCGCCCTGCAGCCCCCGTCTCAGCCACAGCCTCAGCCTCCACGATCCGTGCAGAAGCAGCAGCCCCCGCCTCAAACACAAGCTCCACAGCAGCAGCAGCAGCAGCAGCAGCAGCAGCCCCCTCCTCCTTCTCAGCAGTCCTCCCCACAGGCCCTGCCGTACTACCAGCACCTCCTGCAGCCCATCACTCAGCAGCAGGCTCCGCCTCCTCAGCTTCCTCCCCAGCAGACCCCACCACAGGTCCTGCCGCAGCAAAGAGTGGCCAGCAAGTGGCTTGGCACCRCAGGGCAGCAGCCCCCACCACAAGCCCCCCCAGCGGGGCTGTCACCCCTAGGCCCCATCGGACAGTGGGGATCCCCCGGGCTGCCGGACCTCAGCTCGGACCTGTACAGCCTGGGTCTGGTCAGCACCTACATGGACAGCGTCATCTCAGACATGCTGGGCCAGAAGCCACAGGGGCCTCGCAACAACACCTGGCCTAACAGGGACCAGAGTGAGGGCGTGTTCGGAGCCCTGGGGGACACGCTGTCTTTTGATCCAGCAGGTGGGTGCCCCTCTGACACATGATGAGTTCATGTCAGTATGATACACAGGCATTAAGTGTTTTTCAACAATAGTCCCTCATAAAGGCAAACAGTCACACACGCACAACTAGAATGTCTTTTTGGATGTGAAGAGTCATTTTCCTCAAATTTTATCATAAAGCTCAGACGTCAAATGCTCCTTTAAAACCGCTCCTAATTACTGTATGTATTTAATAATTGAGAATTAAAGTAAAATGGTAATACAAAAGTAAGTTGGTTACACAAAAAAGTGTGTTGGAGTATTAAAATTTGCATGAAATTTGTATAAAAAATGACCTGTAAGTTAGAGTTGGGCAATAAAACTAACTATATGTAGAGATAGACACGTGATCAACAACAGAAAACACATTCAGCTCAAATAGGAGCTGAGCAATTTTATATTATTCACATGATACATCTGAGGTCTAATGTTCATCAGATACGTTGTTGCTCTGAGTTATTAACCCAACAGCAAAAYCCAGTGTTTTGCTGACCCATAAAAAGTTTCTCATCTAAACAGAAAACTTTCTTGGCTCATAAAAGAAGATTTGTCTGCAGAGTTCATATTAAATTAACWCTGAGGGGTTTTCGCTCGATAGGAGCAAATCATACACAAAAGGGAAGACTGTTACGTAAACAAAAGCACTATAATACCATACRGTAATTATGTTTTGCTGCTAGGCAGTGGATAATAGAGTGAAGTTATTAGCTGAGAGTAATTGCGTGTATTTATGTTCCATCTTGTACTCGCTGAGAGCTTAAGACCTTGATCCAATTAATCTAAAAAGAAGACGGGGTAAGCAGCTGTTTTCTCCAACATGTGGCGGCAGATGCGAGTTGAAAATAAAACGCTGAATGTAGCTTCTGTCACTTTCTATTTTTTACAGTGCAGCAGCCTGTTTTGATGGCCGTCGAGGCCCGTTGAGCAGAGTTGACTTACAGCTATTGTGATTTTTCTGCTACGGTAGACAGTCTGGCTAAAAGGCCTGAGCTCCTGGGAGCCAAAGAGAAAAGCTGAGGGTGTCAGAAACTCAGCCGTGTTCATTCACTCTCTCTCCACGCACAGTTGGCTCTGACCCGGAGTTTGCACGTTACGTCGCCGGCGTCAGTCAAGCCATGCAGCAGAAACGGCAGGTGCAGCACATCCGCCGCCCCAGCAGCACACGCAGCAACTGGCCAATGCAAGACGAGCAGCACAGGACCTGGCCCCACCCGGAGTATTACAGCGAGGGGTGTGTATCCCATCTGATTAAACACAGCTCTGTATTTCTCTAATGAACTGTTTTGTAGCACAGAACACATCATTATTTCACTCATGTTATGAAAAGTGAGCAAACTCCAGTGTAATATGCAGCTGACATCATCTTAATTCAAGGCCATCTTTGCCAGAGCTCCAGATAAAATCTCCAGCAGCAATTACACAGTTTTCAAGCCAACACATGCTTGTAGCCACGGGCCTGAAACGTGAAGCCAAAAACTTATTTCCATTTCACTTGTGAGGCTGTTGGCCCCGCAATCCTTTCCTGCATCGCAGCTATAATACATCACAGTGTGTCGTGGTAAACGCCAGTCAACTTGCTCATTTAACAGWATAAAAGTTGAAGTGCTTTGCTTTGTTGACCTACCATCCAGGTTTTCACAGAGGCAGATTACAGTGGAGTCTGAAGAGCACCCGTTAAATTGTTTGTTCTTCCTTTTTGTGGAAATCACGCCAACAGAAACTTGACAGAAAGGAATTTAGTGATAAGGAATAAGCCAACAAAGTGATGCATGCTGTTTGCCTGCCCACTTTGGGGACAAATATGTCATTTACTCGATGCATATAGTCTAAAATACTTGAAGTTTTTTTCCCTCAAGAATTAGGTTCCAAGCGGATTATGCCTCTGTTCTAACCTCTTTAAAATCAAAACATTATAAAAGTTTCATCACAGTTTGCGGTGGTGTAATAAAATTCTTTGTGGCTGATACCTCTATAATAAAAGTTTGGATTTAATTTCAGCTACAAGTGTAAGCAACCAGTCTGCTTAAGAAATCTCACAAATAAGATCTCACATGAAGATA